TAAACATCTGCAGTTTAAATGTCGAAACAATAAGCCTACTTAAATAAGTAACTGAACACAATAATCGGACGAAAAATGTTTTGGAAAACGATTTTCTCCCATAAACACCTGTCTCCCAGTTTTGAAAACTTCTCTGAATGTGAATATTAATACCTAATAGGCTACAATACAGTTCAAATACAGGAAATAACCATTATTATAGTCACACAGCAAGGCGTGATAATTGTTTTAGAGGGCATAGTCAATCAGGGGAGCATGGTTCTGCCTGGGAAAGTTGAAAAAGAAAACATGCAATTATTTTTACCAGATAAGATGAAGTATTTCTTTTTTGACCAAATAAGATGTTGGTTTACACAACTTCGAAAATTACACAAATGCATTAAACGCCACGCTGTTTATCTTTGAGGGTCATTTTTATCCTCTCAGTTGTTACAGGTATAATATGCATGTTACGCAGACGTCATCGTTAGTTGGCTTTTGGAAAAGGGTGATATGTCAGCTTGTTAGTATTTTTAATTACATTTTATACCCTTCCATGACACGCAATCATTCTACAATCAATCACTAATTTGATGTTGTTTCCACACATGCACATGAGTATATTTTCTGCGACTGTTTTGTATTTGAAAACTCTCTGTTGCCTATAATTGTGTTTCTTGGGCATGGACTGCAAAACGCAGTGACTTCGAGCGAGGAAAGAAACATTTTGAGATGCCAAGAATTAACTCGCTCTGTTTCGGTAATAGATTACACTTGATTTAATTTAAAATGCCACCGTACATATACATCCCAGGATGCTGTTTATAGTATACTAAAGCTTCAATAGCTCAGTTTGACATAATTGTATCTCGGCAAATGGAATCCCTCAGACGGATAATAGCACGCATTGTCTTGGCTTAATTTAGTTAATCGTAGCTTTTTTCTGGTTTATATCTGCTGATACATTTTAATGTTCGACTGCCCTTATACGTATACAGAAGAAATCCTCTTTCAGTCGCCCGAAACTCCAGTCCCCTAACTGGCCTTTCAAGTTAGATGTAGGACTGGGTTCATATAACCTATTAAAAGTAAGATTTTACGTCCTGGTTATGTGTATTTTCTGCACCTGCACGGAGAACACAAAACGTACTCATCTTATCAAGAATAAATGAAAACCAACACAACTTAGTTTTCACCAGAAAAGAAACGGAAGTCATAATAGATAGTACAATAGTAGAATAAGAAATTATTTAATGATTTTATCAATTTCCCTTTAATTCTGTAATTTCTATTTCAATATGTTACTTCTAAGCACAAGCACCAAAACACACGCTATTTAAACATGCCTAAATGTATTGCCAACAGCAACTATAATGATTAATATTAATAAATAATATTATGTTGGTACTAATGTTACGATAAGTCATAATATTACAATACTAATATTTATGTTTAATTGCTTAGTTAAAGGTTATGTGTTTTTGCCGATTGTGAAGGTAGCATCGACTTATGAATTTGCTACGAACAAAATATTTATATGTTAATTATACAGATGCGACTTCATAGTTCACAGATACATTAATAAACAATCAGTATTTTAAGATGATAACGGGTGCAGAATAAAATTAGAATGAAATAATCATACAGATTATAAACATACCTACACAGAAATGTATACATTTATAATAAGTCATTCGACAAATACTGCTTGTTTCTATAGAAGGAATCCATAGGCCATTTGGTAATCAAATGTTGACGTGAAAATAAGACAAAGAGTCAAACTGTGTAACCTATTTGTTTTATTGTGCAGATTCAGTCATTTTTTTCTATTTGACTGGGTCCAGTCATGGAGCAAAAAGAATTTGGGGCGGGGTGTCACAAGCTTGGCTCATTTCCCTTCCACTGTAGTCAGTATTTTCTCTTTTTCAACAGGCGAGGGCGCACGAGGACAGCGATTTCATACACGGACCCCGAGAAGTACATGAATGTCACAGCTGCGCACAATGGCTTCGCGGTCTGACGTCCCCTGTCTCATATCCTATTGCATCATTTGTCGAAATCAGTCATACACAAAGATTATCTAGTTTCCTGGATATTCCTCGTCTCTTCACACCACCATTGTGTCTGTGGCTTTTCAGAATATGAATTAAACTCATACTTGATAGTTAACATTTCTTACACATATAATCCTGTTTTACCTGGATTAGGTACCGTAATTATCTGTGGTCTTGCCCTTGTTATTACTCTGTCAATGCTCCTTTTAAGATGAGATAATGACAGGCAGTACGCATGTTGACACACTTCTTTTCATAAGCACAACAAATGGAGCCGAAGAATTGGCGGGTTTAATGACAAAACCCTCCTCTCGTTCACAGTTAGACGTTATCTGTAAGAAAATATAACTAGCTGAAGAACTTAAAGAATGTATTATGTCCACCAGTGAACTGACTGCTTTGCATGATAACAGTCTATTCTGTAAATAAAAGGATGTAATGTACGTATAGCCAACAAGTTTTTTTCAAGACACTATATAACTAGATACAGTGGTATCGATAGGTTGCCAGTTATGCGCAATCTCTGGAGTTCTCGAGGGTGGTAAAATACACATCAGGGTACTGTGAAATGCACGATACGCATGAAAGCTTTGGCGTAACGTCTGTCTCCATCGAAACTCCAGGTTTGTTCTGTCCAGGAGAAACATCAAAGCGAAAGTACGTGCGGGCCCACTGCAGACTGCGGCCAACTGAAGCGTGGGATGCGATTAAATTTGCGAGATTATCATCGCAAGACAATCCATGATCAATTCAGTCAGAAAATCACTAAAATTTGAGATATGTTTCATATATTATTATTATATTTTCAAAGAGCAAAAATGGTGAAACAATGTTTAGTGTGTGAGTGAAATATGTGGCCTATTCATTATATAGGTATACATAGTCTTATTTACATGCAATGTTTGTGTTTACATCAGAAGAATGATTAAACTTTATACTATTGTTGTTGTTCTTTCTTTCTTTTTCATAATTTACTTGAATCAAAATAAAACGATTGTTCGTTTTTGGGTCTCATGGTTATTTTAGGCCATATAATAGCAATGCAACGTAACCAATCACTTAGATGCTTACTACTAGATAAATATTCATTGTTTAATCGTAGTTAATGCTGTCAATTCAGAATTAGCAATTGTAATCAATTTTAGAAGTCATATGATTTATGGCTTTCTGATTGGCGTGTTCAAAAGTAGAAACATTACGTCTTATTAAGATGGCTCCACCCAGTTTTATAATACTGAGATAATGTTGTATTACACATACTGTACACTATGTGTGTTGTATTTTTAACAGTGGCCATTAATTTGGCTGAGTGTTTCGCTTTGCACAAAATAAATGGAACTGTACGCTCATGAATGTACATATACAAATTTTCTTCGAATAATCTGAGCCACCGGGGACTATTCCGAAGAGAATTTATGGGGTCACCAATTTTAAACCTCCAGATTTAACTTAGTGTTTAGTATATGTATCACATAAAACATTTATTGATATTATAATACCTGTTATTAATCAAGTCGAAAAACTGCTGTTTTTAAAACTGGATATATGACATTTTCCAGAATTCCTTCGCCGTGGTTTGTATTATTGGGTGGACTTTCTACAAATCTAATTAAATGCCAGATAACCTGTTATTTTGATTTTGGTCAGGGGAACTTGACCTTTAGCCGATTTACTTGACACCACTTAAAGAAAGAGGGAGCGATGGAGACCGGAAGAGTTCACGGTGGAGGTGAGAGCGTTCATCTCAAACGGTCCTGCACTCGATCGACAGCCCAGTTTCAGGTGTAAAACTCCCTGTTCCATTTGACCCAACACAGGGAGAACTGATGAGACAATCTGTGAGCTTATAGTGCTTAACTGTGTGTTATAAACAGCGCCCTACTTGTTTCTACCTATAAGCACAATTTTATCATCTGCCCATTACGTCACATAACTTGTTTTAAACAGAATTGCTCATAAAAAGTCTCTCATCTCTGTGTTCCATAGGACAGTCATTTTCGTCTGTTCCATCTTTGACACTTCTACAATCATAATTTTTTAAGCCAAAAAAAAGACAATTGCATTACTACTACTTCATATTAATTCTGTCAGTGTACAATGGTTTCGTTGTTCTTTCAGTCTATTCTTTAGTCCCCGAGAGACAAATCAAAATGAGCTAATCACCAGTAGGCATACAATTCCCATTCTGAAAAACCGATAATGCGGTCTTTTACATTGAAACAATTTACCGTGAAATTACGATGCTAAAGGGACCTAAAAAACTATATGCCTTTAGATATGACATTCTAGTAATGCAACATAAACACCTTTTAAAGCAGAGCACTTTCAGAAAACACTGTGTGTGTGTGTGTGTGTGTGTGTGTGTGTGTATATATATATATATATATATATATATATATATATATATATATATATATACGTATGTATGTATTTTGATGTATGGTCTATTAAGATTTTAAAATGCACTTGAAATTTCTGTGTATTTTAAGTTCATATTAAATAACAACGAACCATAGTTTGAATTAGTCAAAATGTTAATACTATAGACAATATTTTAATAGTCGGTGGATACTGAAAAATGCATGTAAATATTATTTGTAGTGTGATGTTATATGTATGCTATATATGTGTGTGTGTGTGTGGGTGTATGTGTGTGGGTGGGTATGTGGGAGTATGTGTGTGTGTGTTTTGTACATTAAATTTTCCTTGTGGCGTTTTTTTATTGTCTCCTAAAAGCAGTTTTTGATCATTTAACTCCCGCGCGCTCTCGGCTATATTATTTTATTTCCATTTCCTGACTAACTTCAAATCGAGTTTGTTTTCCTGTTTTCCGTTAAGCCCACCTCGTTTTAGCAATAGCTGGTTTTTTGTTTATCCACTGCGAATCGATGAGTGGCGTCACCGGGGGTGCTATTATGACGACTATCCTATTAAGAATGACAGCTCGAGAGAAAGGCAATGGTGATCCCTCCCAGAGCTCGTGCTGCACACTGGAGCGCGTGCATCGCAGGGTCAGCACATCATCACTCGAGCCGCTACACAGTCTGTTCCTGTTAAAAATCGTGTTCTCTCCGCGACTTGGCGTTTAGTCCGCGACAATAATGGAAAACAGAAAAGAGATGGTGATGTTCGTGGAGGGAGGTCAACTTGGCACGCTGGCTGGCAAGATAGGGTCCAATTTGTCAGAAGCAGTAGGAAGCCCCGTTCAAGAACCACAGGAAAAGGTACTCCACAGAAACTGTTTGAGTCCCAGGTCGGTGCCTTCATCACGAAAAAGAGCGGATGAGGAGGTGGAGGATATACGGAGCGACGTCTGCAGCGATATAAGGCCGGGTGGAGTCCCCTCTGCATCGGGGAAAACTCAGTTAGAACTAACCAACAAAGGGCACAGCAGCTCCGATACCGAGTCAGATTTTTACGAAGAAATTGATGTCAGCTGTACGCCCGAAAGCATGGATTACCCAAATGGCAAAGGTGAGATAAGAATCAGGGTTAAAACATGTACATTTGTTGTTACTGATCACATGAAAATGTTCATGTGTGAATGATTGCTTTATGCAACTTGTCTGTAAGATGTCTCACTTGAAGTATTTAATCCAAGTAGCATTCGTTACAATGGCGACACGTTAGTTTTGGCAGCTGAGTCTCCTGCACGCGCTGGTAATTACGGTGTGAAGATAAGTGCTCAATGACTCGCAGCGTGTATTCCGAAATATTTTATGTGGTAGGTGATGTTCTTAGAGCGATCTTTAAAGGTGAATATATGAGGATTAGCCTGTTTTCCTGTGTTTCATTACAGTCAAAAACCATGTTTACAATGGAAGAATAAGTACCTATTTAGTTCTGAGAGCGTCTTTGTGGCTAGCAATAACATTTAACGAATGGGTATAATTGCTGTGTCACTTAATGTGTACCCGCAGCGCGACTGCACAACGCTTGAAGCCTGTGTACAATGGCCAACAGGAACGGTCGGTGTCGTTTCATCCGTAGACGATTCGCTGGTGCTTGTTTTTTGTTTCCGTTTATCAGATTTAATTATGTAGCTTTAAAATGGATTTTTTTTTTGTCAGCCGAAAGGTAGCACCTGTCTGTTCACGGTCCAAAATAAGCATTCCTATGCTCGGCGAATGAAATAACAAAACGTGTCTATTAAGTTTTCTCTAATTTAATTCAGCTGTAAGGAAGAGATTCTTATTTTCGTTTTTTTTTCCATTAAAATGACATGAGTATTTATGTGATCAAGATTTGTTGCGCATCAAAATACATTTTGGGAATGTAATATTTCACACGAAATGCACAACCTAAATTTAATCATTCTCTCTAGTTATTTCGTTTAATAGACACTCTAGAAAATGTCTAGTGTATTTTATTCTATTGTGTAGCGAACTGTTTACTAAAATGGCATAATTATACCAATTTATTCGTTTGGAATGCGGTGTCGTTTTTAAATATATTGAAATTATGGGAATTGGAATGGGAGTAGAAGCCGGTGGATGAAATAAAACTAAACCAGACACGTAATTTTGTTAATGTGGGGCATAAATAAAAGAATTGTAATATTGCGATGTTTTCCGTAACACTTCTAGGTCGTCCCGGCGACTCCCCAAACCACAGCAGTGACAGTAACGTCGATGCGGGGAAAGCAAGTTCAGGCCAGGCATCCCTGTCCTACGGTTCAGATCAAATGCGCCGGTACCGAACAGCCTTTACACGAGAGCAGATCGCCAGATTGGAGAAGGAGTTCTACCGAGAAAATTACGTGTCCCGACCAAGAAGATGCGAGCTGGCTGCTGCTCTGAATTTACCTGAAACGACCATAAAGGTGATACCGTTAGCGCTTCATTTTACTAAGAAAAAAAAATCTATGACGCTAGTGAAATGATCGTTTTTGTGAAGTGGCAAAGAAAATAGATAACGAATTACAAACTTGATTGCGTCGTTGTACAATTTAGACTGTCTGTGTTTTAGGTGTGGTTCCAGAATCGGCGAATGAAGGACAAGCGACAACGACTCGCTATGACCTGGCCTCACCCTGCGGATCCGGCATTCTACTCCTACATGATGAGCCACGCTGCGGCCACCGGGAACTTGCCTTATCCTTTCCCGTCCCATCTGCCCTTACCATATTACTCTCATCTCGGTGTTGGGGGCAACACGGCGTCCGTTGCCCCATTCAGTAGCCCCTTGAGGCCGCTTGACACCTTCCGGGTCCTGTCTCATCCGTACCCCAGACCAGAGCTGCTTTGCGCCTTTAGGCACCCTTCTCTGTACCCCACTGCGGGTCATGGACTCAGCTCGGGGGGTAGCCCGTGTTCCTGCCTTGCTTGCCACACCAGCCAGTCAAACGGCTTGTCTCAGAGACCTTCCGGGTCGGACTTCACCTGTTCGGGCACCAGCAGAACTGACGCCTTTCTGACCTTCACACCCTCAGTCTTGAGTAAGTCCTCCACGGTTTCCCTGGACCAGAGAGAGGAAGTACCTCTGACCAGATAAGATTTTGGCCTGTTACCGTTTGGGTCAAACTTGAAAGAGTCCCAAAAAAACGCTTAATGAATTTTGGACTTTCAGCATGAGTAAAATGCTAATGTTGATCACTCGCTAAAAGCAGCGACAGCAGCATATCTCACCGAAACGCACCAGCTACACAAAGGGAAAGGACTACGTTTGGACTTGAAACAATATTGCTTTTAATCTATGGCACCTGCGAAAAGGAATATCAAAGCTGATATATATTTATTAAAATCTTTCCGTTGCTCCAAATCATAGACTTATAGAAATATTACCACAGGAGTAAAATACTTTTAGTATATTAGTCATAAGAATATTCGGGATTTCAATAATTTCATTCGAAGGAGAATAATGGAGATGGAGCAGGTCACAAGCAGTTATTGACGTGATTGATGACGGTAAATCTTTTATAACTATTTGCAGTTTCCACCTATGTCTAAATTGGCCTGGATATATTGTTAGTTACATTCAAATGATGTTTTCATCTTTCTTTTTAACAAGGGAATTTGTTAACAGACTGAGGAATCTCATTACTTCTTCTCCGAAGTCCCTGTCTTGGTATACGGAGCTGAAATGTGCAGATGCTGATAAAATTAGCAAGTGATGTATATGTAAGGAGGAATTTTGAATGTTGAATTAATGATTATACTGCGCGCGTGGAGACTTCCTGCCAAACGGTAACAAGGCGCCATGGGAGCGGATTAGTTGACGGGAGCGAGAAATCCATTGGACAATCACATGGAGCAAATTGGGGCAAGCGCGAGCTGCCTGTCTTGCTGCGCCCTCAGCTGAACATTTTCACCCTCCCTCCCCCCTCCCCCGCCCGCCCCACAACCCCTTTCCACACAGCCTTCAATTTACCTTATTTCTGGGAGTTAATGTTCATTGAGATTTCTATTGGCGATGGATGTTTTAAGCCTTATATTTATATACATATATACAAATATATATAACAAAAGGAACATAAAAGTCAGTTTGGATTTTTCCTTCATTCTTCAGGAGGCTTTTTTTCTGTTACTGTTAACTACTTTTCATGTATTGGGCAAACCAAACTCACAGGAAACTGGAATATAAAAGCAGTTTTTCAGCGTGGCATTGTGGACTTGTTCAACTCTGTTACCATTTTGCAATAAAAAATAATTTTGAGTTAAAGTACCAGTTAATGTTTCTAAATTTATTTCGTTGTTCTAAAAGCAATTAGACAATGTGAACGTAATGGAGTAAAATATTTTTAAATAAATAAAATAAATCAATCAATAAAAAATATTTCAGCCAATATTCAGTGTAATACAAAGAAATGTGTCAATAACTTCGACAGCTGAATATAAAAATGACTTTAATTAATAAACACAGCAAACGGCGGTGCACGAAGAAAATAATCAAATGTACATAGCGTTAATTTTATCGTTATTTAATATTTTCGGATCTTAATAGAAATTTCGAAAAGGTTCTACCATGCACAATATTTCCAAATATGAACATGGCATACAAAACATTATGTGGCGATGGTTACGCAGTTACATTTTAATATGTATGTTATCAGTCGGGCCTGGATGCTACCACATATATCTCACCAGTATTGAACTCATGCATCGCTGGCTTAGGTGTGCTTACATATTTCTGGAGTTATTTGCAAAAACACAATGCATATGAGCGGCTCGTGATTGTGGTTCTGTTAGTGGACATATTTAGCGAGATCAAACGAAGCTGAAGTGGTCTGTAACCTTCGATTCAGTGCCTTTTTTTTTCCTTCAGAACGCAATCCTATTAAACTGCAGTTCTACTGCATCGCTCTGTGATCTTAGTGCGAGATTGTTTGTGACAGTTAAGAGGTCCCTGGGCTGCAGTAATAGAAGCCATATTTTCTCTGTTACCAGTTAATAGATATAGCAGAATTAGATGTCTCGCGGAGATATTGGAATGTAAAAGATCGATGATGCATACCCTTCACCAATCAGCAGTCGTTAATTGGCTGGATTTTCTGGGTAATTGAACAACTTTCCTTGCAAATTGAACCTTTCTGAATATAATGGCGTAGAATCACAAAGATGTTTTTTTTTTTTTTTACAATAATCAGTATTCTTGATACTGAAGAATATTGAGAGGGCTTGGAAATTGCAGACGTGGTCAAAATGCTGCGTTAAACGACACTGAGCGAAATTCGTTTAATTGCTTGACATAAAAAATATTAATTATTTTAATATGCTAAAATCAATTTTACACACGCACCCTAACATGTCGCACGACTTTTATAAAAGTATTGATTTTAATCCTCGATCGGCCAGAGAAATCGTAATTGTCTTCTCTGTCCAAATGGCTTCCTACCATTTAAAAACATGCTAGTTACTGCAGGATACATTACTAAGACTGCGTATTTATTTCATATGCATTGTGCCGCTCTGTTAATTTCTAGATCAAATTTACAGGCTCTGCTGAAATATTATTTCTAATTTATATTCTACGTAAATTGTTTTCCTTCAATTTACATCTATCTATCTATCTATCTATCTATCTATCTATCTATCTATCTATCTATCTATCTATCTATCTATCTATCTATGTTTTGGGATCAGATTCATCTTGACTGCCCCACGGAGCCTCCGAATAGTCCGGTCTCGGTGATTGATCGACTTATTAACCAGTGTTCCTGTAAGTGTGACCAAGCTGATTAAAATGCATATGCTTGGAATAATGTTCTGGTTAAGCAACTGGGTCTTTGTAAAGATGCTTCGCAGAGCGTATATGTGTGCGTGCACGTGCGTGATACTTCCGCAAGCCGGCTCTAGAAATCGTGACAAAACACTGACAAAATATCAACGCATGAAATAGAGGCGCTATCTACATCTTGTTATAAAAACCCTGAAATGGACACTTCTTACTTAGAATAACAACGTCAGTTGGGATATCTTACTTTGCCGCCTTTAATAACTATTAATTCCAGTCTATAAATGATATTTCAGATTCAGGTGTAAATGCTTTGAAAATGATTCTTTGTTTTCTTTACGCCCTATCGGCATTATCATGGTGAAATCCAAAAGATAAAGCAGACGTTTATTTTCGAGCTTGTACAGCCATCGGAATATGATGGGATATTACGTCACGGCCTTAGATGCTATTGCAGAGGCGTACGACTGTGGACCCATTATATAAATTGCCCAAAACAGAGGTGATTTCAGGCTTAACACAAAAGCACGTGAAGCTCAGATAGGCCTTGTTCTGCAGCTGTTCTGAGGGCCAGTAAAACGGCCTTGTTTAAATTGTGTTACATTCTAATTTACAGGCAGTTTCGGTCAGACAGACCGGGAGGCGTGAATAGACCAATCAAACCTTAATGATGATGAATGGGAAATTAATTCACATACAAGCAAGACAATTTAAGCCTTCATCTGTTTAAATAGCCTTCCAATAGCATTTGGAACTGGAGGTCACATTCAATCAATCGCGCGGGCTGTGAAAGTCATATTCTGTGGCACCTTTATCAACATTATTTATAGTGCGCTGGAGACAGCGGCGCTGGCTCGAGAAAGCTTGTAATGGGAAACCGGTTCTGACAAGTAGCACATCGGAAAGAGGGTTTTGAAATATAAATATTCTTTTTTTCTTAGAATGTCTAATATATGCATGCTCCCGTGCAATAGAATTTAAACTGAATGTATCAATTTGTTTATTTATTAGTCAAAGTAAAATATCACACATTTCAATCTACGTAGCCTATACCTCAATCCGTAGAGCGAATGAAAGAGAGACTGCACGGTCCTAACGTCATATAACATGTTTATATCTGACTAGACAGACATGCTTTTAGCTTACTACGTAAAATGTGATATGATGCCATTGTTTGTGTTGATATAACGTCAGTTTTAGCATCGTGTTCATTGATTATCATGTTCACGCATTAACAAAACTATTGTTAACTTTAAACAAAAAACTGATTTTTTATGCTGTCGGCTTCCTATAACCGCCCTTCAACTTCTTAATATGTAGTGGCAAGAATTCCCGAAAGCACCAATTTACATTGAGCCTGCTTGTGTATAATCATTTAAAAACCATAGACCAAAACAGACCAATTTACTTCGTGTTTTAATTTACCAACAGCTCACAACTACCGATTAACAAGTAGCTTATTATACAAATATATGGGGGTTGCTTATATTTATAAAAATGCCAGTAAAGCATTCCATGCACCAACTGATTTTTATCATGCCTATTCGGATGGCCCCGTTAATAAAAATATAATTGAATCTAGTGGTATTAAGTTAGACCTTCAAAATTCCTTTCCTTTGTATTATATCGATTTTATTGTTTTTTTTTAATTCACCGAATCGGCAAAATGATTTTTCTATAAGCGAACCCACCGCAGTATAGAGGCGACGGAGAGGACGCGTGAAATTCACGCTCTCCGGTTGCTAGAAACACAGAAAATTATTACAGCGTGCCTCTCGATCATGTAACTAACTGCGGGAGGCTACGTTTTAAAAGGGTTTAATATCAATGTCTGTTTATTTGACTACTCCAGCTGTTTTGTATCGTTTTATTTTCTTGTAATTCATGTTGGGTTTTATAAAATCATACTTGCACACAGAACCTATTTATAAGTCATTAATATCTACATTGTGATTTCTTTCACAGTCCAAAAATAAAAATACAAAAGCGCAGCTGAAAGATAGGCTATTCATTGAAGATAGGCTACTTTCGTATAGTGTCAAACTTTTACTGATGAAATACTCGGGGGTTTTATATGTTCCCATGAACTGAAGCTCTTCATGAGATTCCAGATACTCATAATATAAGGAATTGTGAGTTTATGTGTTACATAGGTTCTTAAATTACCTTTTTCCATGTCCTCTCACACGAGTTTCTCACTCCGCCAGCTCTAGGTCTTCAAATGTCCACTGAGTGTAATTTACAGTAGGCCTAGACGCACTCAAAATACTTGCCGCAATTTGCCAAGAAGTCGAATATTTTCCGAACATAACCCAGAGTCGGGAACCGAGAAAATTGACTTCGTAACAATTAAGGAACTAAAAACGGCAAAACCAAAGCTGGAATTAAGGATTTTTAAAAAATTATTATTATTAAAATGCAATTTATGCTTGTTTTTAGTGGTACACTTACGATTAAACTACTTTAACGACTTTCACTGCATCCTCTACCCCGAGCTAGATGAAGCCTATTTTGAGTATCTAAGTGCATGTCAAGCTCAGCGTCCAATCCGAATTCAGTTTGAAGGCAAGGGGCAAATGGCAAAACCGAACAAAATGTTCCACATTTAAAATACGGTTGTGGCCTAAAATGTCGTTATATAATTACTTTTCTTTATAGCACTGTACTGCTCGGTACGATGTATTGTTCCTCTTACTAAGCGGCTGTACTATATATAGTGTCAGGTACTAGGAGTGATGATTAATTGTTAACTTATGCACGTACAACACGATGATTCACTGAATATGGACGCGATCCAGAACTAAAGGTGTATAATAACGTTCGTAGAATACGAGCACGTTAGCTTCTCCCGCTCAATGAGCCTTGATTGAGCTGTTGCTCCTGTTCATCGGGCGATTCAAATCAGAATAAACATAACATGGTCGTTGGGAAGTGGACATAGACCTAAATTAGTGATTCTCATACAGAACAATTAAATAAGCGCCTAGATTAACTGATAGCCTACTATATCTGAGCGGAATTTATTCATTTCGGCTTGTTTAATCAATTATAAAAATACGGATCATATGCATTCACTGAAACCGAGTAGATACCACCCAGGAGTCCCGTACCTGGTGCGTGATGCATCTTGGGATATGATTTTTGCTAATAC